TCGTCAATAGGCAAGAATCAATCATACGCCACGATTAATAATAACTAATAATTAACTTTTATAAAGAAGGCTTAGTACTTCATGGTAAATGCTATCTTAGACACTGAGCACTCATCTGCGCAGGGGAAACTGAAGCACAGAGCTGGAGATGGTTCATCATTCTTAGTCTGAGAAAGATGTGCATTGCCTGAGTAGGGCATGGAGACCTTTAGAAAGAAGTCTAAGTGGATGACGCAGCCCAGGAGAACTGCCAGGCACTGCAACACTGCCTCCTCCATTGCCACTGACTGGAAGAAAGAAATGCTCAAATGTAAACGGCCATTCACATTAGGACTTGTCCAGTACACACTGACTAGACAGGAACCAACAAGGACTCAACTTTTCAACATGAAACATAAAATCTAGCCCCGTTGGGTGTTGGATTCTCCTTATTTGACCTCTTAAAGGAGCTTGGAAAACTACAAGCTGTACTCTGTGCTGCTGCTCCATGTTAGAGCTAAGACATTAAAATATGGAACATTAGGCTGTCAGTGCCAAGGAAAACTGCTACAATAACTACTGACATCACCAAAGTGAAGGTAAAGTCAGGTGCCACTGTCCAAAAAGTCCTGGCAGTAATGTTAGTTAACACTTGTTTGAATCATAATTTTATACCTATAGGTAAGCACTGTGTGTAAGAAAAACAACTACCCTTTTGGTACACAGAGTCTCCAAAAAAGTTGGGAGTTTTAATTTTCGTGTAAACTGAAGTAAAAGTCATAGATAATAATTTTAAATGGTTGTTTCTAGAATGTGGATTTGACAAGACTACTGAACTGATTTCTTAATAAGGTATTTGTTACATATAGAACACATTTTAAAAGCAGAAATTTATGGTAAATAAATTTTATCCACTGAATTCAAACTATTTTAAGATGTACTAATTCATGCTAGCAATAATCACAATACAATTAATTATTCCTGATTAATTCACTGTTCAAATATTTCATCTGATAGTCAAAAACCTAAAATTTCCCATGCATATCAAGGGCAGCATAAGTACAAAGGCTGCCAGTTGGGGAATTTGCAGTGCAAGAGCTTCAATATTTCAGGGTGCTATCGTTTCTCTTCTCCCACCCTCCCCGTTTTTACAGACTTATTTACAACCCAAAAGCAAACTTTATTTGCTACAGTAAGATTCCTGTTTCCTTTCTCAAGTAATTATTGGTTTGGGTGGTAAATAGAAAGATATTTACGCCTTAGGATTTTTTTTGGAATATATAAATGTGACACCTACAAGGTAAATATCTATTAAAATGCATGGAAAAACAGCCTTTTTGGAAAACAAAAAATAAGCCTTCAATTTCCAAGGATTATGTAGAAACTTAAAGGCCCATGACTTTGAATGTGGAGCCATTTAACAGAAGACCACAATTAAAAGTATGCCTTATGTTTTCAATACGTTGCTTCCTATACGAAACAAATACCTATTAACCTGTAACTTTTTCGTCTTTAATTAACGCTTGGAGAATTTCTATCTGGGCTTATCAGATTTTGGGTAGGGAAGGGAGGAATGTAATTCTTCCTGAAGAAAATGGGAGAAATCCACAAAAGACAAATTAATCTGAGCAAGACATTCTAGAGGAAAGAACTAAATCAGATTGTATGTTAAAAGAAAAGGCAAGTATAAGTGTATTCAGTTTTTTGACTAAATATGCTTCCTATACTTCCTAATAACTGTCTTATAACTCAGAATCTGGGCTGAACCAGGGTACGATTATTCCCTGTATTACCTTTATACCTAAGAAACTGGACATAACTCTGAACATGCATCAAAGTAAGTGAATGACTTATTGCAATTTACCCAAAATAGTGAGAATCAGTTTGTGTTAAATGTTATCCCCCTTTGTGGAGCCAGCCACTTAATATAGATGTAGTATCCTGATCAACTAATTTTAAAATTCTGTACTCTGTAAGGTACTCCTCCAGTGTTACTGTACTAATCTATAATGAGGGAATTGCATTTCCTTCTTCCAGGTGAACAATCTATGTGAACATGAAATACAAAAGAATCGGAAGCCCGAATTTCTCTTCTGTACTCTCCAGCTGGCTTCCTTTAAGGGAAGGAAGGTTTAGGATACAGCAAATTCACACCACCAGGTTAGATGTGTGAAATGACACATCCCAGGAAGGTAGAAGTAATTTTTGCTTCATCAGTGTGGATGCTCTAAAGGCACTGCTGATCAAGAGGGACACTGAAGAAATTCCAAGGGTCAGGAGGCTGGCTCTGCCTGGTCTATCTCATCATCCAAGAAAACACAGTTGCTAACGGACACATGCTCTAAGGTTAGAAAAAAAGTACTTCATTTTCCAGTGTGGCTACAACAAAAAAAAGTGGGCAAATGACACTTAAGAGACTAAATGATAAATCCATCTCTGAGTTGTCTCAATCAAATTCTATAAATCTTTTGATTCTCCAATTTAACTGTTTGCTTTGGCTTTACCAGGTTTGAGAGGAATACTAGAGATAATAAGCGTAACACAACATATTAACTAAGTCCTCCAAATGTGTGTTAAATAACAAAACAATATAGTTATACTGACCTGTGATTTGTTTATTGTTTTTTTTGTTTGTTTGTTTTTTGAGACAGGGTCTTACTCTGTTCCCCGGGCTGGAGTACAGTGGCACAATCATGGCTCACTGCAGCCCCGACCTCCCAGACTCTAGTGATTCTCCGACCTCAGCTGCCCAAGTAGCTGGGACTACAGGCACACGCCACCATACCCGACTAATTTTGGTATTTTTTTTTCTTTCTTTCTTTTTTTTTTTTTAGTAGAGACAGAGTTTTTGCCCAGGCTGGTCTTGAATTCCTGAGCTCAAGTGATCCACCTGCCTCCCAAAGTGGTGGGATTACAGGCACATGCCACTGCACCTGGTCTGACCTGTGATTTTTAAACTCATCTTATTAATTTAAATTTAAAGTTAATAAGAGAAAGCCAAAATTAAAATTAAAAAACAAGAGAAATATTCTTATTTAAAAATAAGTATATTTGGAAAAAGGGCTAGTGGAAAGGGGGGCTAAAATTAGCCTTTATATAAGAAACTCTGTGATGCTGAAAGCAGCCATAGTCAATTAAACAAAGTAGGGGTGACTCACCACATATTAAGGGTGTCCTCTTTAGTAATGGCAACAGCAATTCAATCACCAAAATTATTTAATCTACAGATCTTCTAGACATTTATCAAAAGTCTCACTAGAGTATCATTTTCTAATACCTGAACCTTGTTTTGGGGAGTCAAATTTCTAGAAAAAGAATCTTAATGTGAAGGCACAAATCTGGACTACTACCTGGGTTCAGAAGATAGCTTAATATTTAACAGTTTATATCCCAAGAGACTATTAAAAAGCAATGTAGGTTTTGCAACAGTGCTATTTTCTTTTTTTTGCTTATAAAAGAGACAAGTGACAATGAAAGTTAATGTGAGCATATTTTAATTGAACTTAATCTTTTTTGTTTTTTGTTTTTAATTGTACTTATTCTTGAGATGGTTAATTTATAGCTGTACTTCCAATACTGACATACCACACATAATCATATATGCATGAATATAGAACATATATAGTGTACACACATACACACACTGTGTAAGCATGAAAGCAAAGTGAAGAAAAACACTAAGTTGGCTCAAATAATATTTCCCCTAAGAGCACTTTCCTGGAATTGTACAATTGAGAAAAGATCATTACCTAATACTCTGAAAGAACAGCACACATACCTCAAACTCAGATGTCTAGACAATTTGGCCTAAAATCTCAATCCAAAGGTCAACTATTATAAAAGTTTCAAATATGATTTCTAATTTTTAATTTTGTTTTTAGAATTAAAGAATAGGAGTTTTAGTTCTTCCTACTGTCAAAAGCTGAATTGGCCAGAGTCAAATATAAAGAATTTTAAGTTAGATAAGGAAAACAAATATTTAGAGGGGAAAAAAGTATAACATCCAATTTCTTATAAGAATAACATACATACATCTAAAGTAGTATATGATTGTTTATAAGAAATAAACTGTGTTGTGATTTTAAGAATTAACATTCTTTTTTTTTCTTTTCTTTTTTTTTTTTTGGGATGGAGTCTCACTCTGTCACCCAGGCTGGAGTGCAGTGGCGCGATCTTGGCTCACTGCAAGCTCCACCTCCCGCGTTCACGCCATTCTCCTGCCTCAGCCTCTCGAGTAGCTGGGACTATAGGCGCCCGCCACCACGCCTGGCTAATTTTTTTTGTATTTTTAGTAGAGACGGGGTTTCACTGTGTTAGCTAGGATGGTCTCCATCTCCTGACCTCGTGATCCACCAGCCTCGGCCTCCCAAAGTGCTGGGATTACAGGTGTGAGCCACCACGCCCAGCCAATAATTAACATTCTTAAGATGATACAGTTGTAAAGTTAAATCAGAAACACCAAATCTGAAAGAGGCTGTGATCTAACCATTTTACATTTCCTCAGAGTTTTGGTATTTTCCCAATTTTACTGTGCAAATGTGACAAAACCATACACCACTTCTGCCACAAGAGACAAAAGCAATTACTCCACTAAAACAGTAAGATTTAAAAATGTGAGGTAACAAAATAAAGATCTACATTTAAGCGCAATGAAGATAAGAAGTGGCAGAAAAATTCTTAGTTTTAAAAAAGAAAACAATCCCTTTTAATAGTATTCAAAGAACATAAGAAAGATAAAGCTTTTGGAATCAACTTGATGTGACTGCAAACAGACAAAAGAATGGAGATGTGTCAAAATATGATTCAGGTTAAAAATAGATGTCATGCTGGGGCCACTCATTGAGCCCTAATTTATAGATGCCAAATTCATTCTTGTATTTTCAAGGAGAAAAGTGCAATTTAGATTGTCTCACAATGGCATAATAAATTTTTCTGCCTGAGATTAAATAGCAACTAATCATTTGGACAGTTAAAAAAATTAAAGGGTAGGACATACATGTAGGCACACATAGAAGAGTTACCTTCAGCTGATTATTGAAAATATCAATCTCCTGTAGTTTTGATCTAGTTTCTTTCTCCACTTCATCCAGTTGGTCTCGTAGCTGCTGCCGAGCTAGTTCTTTTGCTTCTAAGGCTCTTTTAAGTGTAACAAGTGAATCTCCTATTTTAGAAAAACATTGCAAAGATAAGAAAAACTTTAATTTGCAGTGAGGAAAATGTTTTTTAATGTTCTCCTTTCACTTAGGGAAATTCTTGCTGGTTATAAAATAAGAGAAGGCCAGGCACGGTGGCCTATGCCTATAATCCCAGCACTTTGGGAGACCAAAGCGGGCAGATCACCTGGGGTCAGGAGTTCAAGACCAGCCTGGCCAATACAGTGAAACCCCATCTCTGCTAAAAACACAAAAACTAGCTGGATGTGGTGGCATGCACCTGTAGTCCCAGCTACTTGGGAGGCTGAGGCGAGAGAATCTTGAACCCGTGAGGCGGAGGTTACAGTGGGTCGAGATTGCACCACGGCACTCTAGTGGTGTGCTTGGGGGACAGAGCGAGACTCCATCTCAAAAAAAGAAAGAAAAAAGTAAAGGTCAACTTTAAAAATAAAACACCTACTGTGCAAACTGTTCTGCTGAACTTGTTTTAATTGGTCATTGAGTATCTGTTTTTCTGGAATAAGTCTTCCAAGCATTTGCTGAGATTCCTGGGAAGGAAGGAGGAAAACAGTAATGAATGACAGGGAAGGCTACCATGTCTACATTAAGATCCAGGCAGAGCTTAAGTCAGTTTTCTCAGACTCTTCCCAAATCCTGTACGGTGAAGCTGCATTTAATCATTAGCTAGGTGAGGCTCCTGCTTTCTTGCTAATAAATTAACTGTTTGCCAAATGCTTTTCCCTAAAATAAAGTTAAGACAGCTATAGCTTCCCTGATATTTCTTATATTTTTGTTGACTTACTGGATATTTATAAGCTTCAAAAAATGTACATTAAGTACCACTCCACAGAGATAAATTGAAGTAATGATCTTCCAATGGCACCGGGATCAAATGCAAATGCAGTGATCCTACTGTTTGTAAACTAACTCAGTGGTCTAAATAGGAGTTATCTTATTACTCTGTCCTGAACTTTGATACTTACTAAGGCTGAACTTAGGTTTACCATATACCTGAAGTTGGAAACAGAAATCAAAGATTTTTAACAACTAGAACCTTAGCTGCTGTATATATTTTTCCACCACACTGGATGGAATTTTAAACAGGTACACAAAAGTTTTGAAGCAACTATTTTTTAACTGACACAAGAAAAAAGTTAAGCCACACTGCACAGGCTGTTTGGAATTTTTGTGGTTAACTTGCCAAGCATAGTATTTGCTTAAATTTAGCTGAAAATATCCTGTATAGTTTCTGCACATTTCAGTAAATGGCAGCCTTCCCAGGTTATAATAAAGAATATTTGACTCTTATTTTTACCTTGATAAAAAATGAGCTCTATGTATTGACTTTTTCTTTGAAAAACTAAAAACGCCTTAATTAAAATTTTTCATCAGAAGCTAAAAACCAGTCCATTTTGGAATAACTACCTTTAGATACAGACTGGTTTACGTGGAATAAATCTCTGTGTAATATATGTCTAAATGATAGACAGAGTTAACTCAATAGCAAGAATTTAGAAGCATCTTCTCCTATGAATAATCCATAACAGAAAAAAAACTTGATAAAACAGAATACACGTATCAGATCTGACTTATCTCCAAAGCAAGTATCTGTTAATCCCTGTACAGAAAGGGAACCAATATCTCATTACCTACTACATACTTTTCTTTCTTCAAAGAATGTTTTATTTTTCACTTCATTACATTTTGGGGAATCCTGATTTTTATCATATTATCAATAAGTGAACATTCTAAGCATCAATCTTAAATAATAAAAATTATACTTGGTCATATAGTATTAGGTGATAATACTCAGATAAATAAACCCATGGCCTTCATCCTTAAATTTTCCAGGAGAATATTTTATGGAACTTCACCTCAAGAGTTAATGAAAGACACTTAAAGAGAGTTAACACATAGAAAAATATACTTAGGCCAAGGTGGGTGGATCACCTGAGGTCAGGAGTTCGAGAACAGCCTGGCCAACATGGTGAAACCCCATCTCTACAAAAAATAGAAAAATCAGCTGGGTGTGGTGGCGCTTGCCTGTAATCACAGCTACTGGGGAGGTTGAGCAAGGAGAATCACTTGAACTTGGGAGGCGGAGGTTGCAGTGAGCCGAGATTGCGCCACTGCATTCCAGCCTGGGCAACAGTGAGACTTTGTCTCAAAAAAAAAAAAAAAAAAAAAATATATATATATATACACACACACACTTTAAAAAGGTGCATGCATTTTGTAATATTTTAAAATAATTTCCAGCAATCAACTTCTGATACGTTTTACTTAACAAATCTCAAATTTCAAATGTATAAGAACGTTCTTAGGACTTCAAAGTACATGAAACAATAACTGAACAGAACAGAAATGAAAGGAAAATGGACAAATCCACAATGACCAGGATTTCAGTGTTCCACTCTCAGTAGCTAATAAAAGTAGTCACAAAATCAGTCAAGACATAGGAGACTTGAAGACCACCATGAATCAACTTGATCTAACTGACATTTAGGGGACACTCTACAAAACTATAACAGCATGCACATTCTCTTCAAGCGCCCATAGAATATTCCCCAAGACAGATCATGTGCTGAGCCATAAATCTCAATAAATGTGAAAGAATTCGAATAAATTACAAAGAAAATTTTAAAAAGAGTTTGAATTGAATATGAAAATGCAACATTTTAAAACTTTGTGGGATATGGCAATTTCAGTGTTTAGATGGAAATTTAAAGCTTAAAATGTTTGTATCAAAAATGAAGAAAGGTCCAAAATCAATTATCTAAACTTCCTCCTTATGAAGCCTGACAAAAGAAAATTAAACCCCAAATAAGTAATTGGAAGAAACAAGAGAAAAAGAGCATAAATAAATAAAACAGAAAACAGACATACCACAGAGAAAAACAATAAAGCCAAGAGCTTATTTAAAAAAAAAATTCAATAAAGCCAAGAACTTATTTTTTAAAAATCAACAAACTCCAGATAGATTGATCAAGAAAAGAAGGAGGAGAGAGACAGTAGGAGAAAGGAGAGAAGGGATTAGGAAGGAAAAGGAGGAGGAAGCTGGAAGACAGAGTGAGATGACACAAATCACCAATATCAGGAAAGAAAGAAGGGACATCACTACAGATACTACAGACTTGCATACAATAAGAGAATGTTAGAAACAACTTTATACAAATAAATTTAGTAATTTAGATAATATAAACAAATTCATTGACAGATACAAATAATCAAAACAGATTCAAGGAGAAAAAGAAAATCAGAATAGCCCTATACCTACTGAATAAATTTTATAATTAAGTCTTACCACAAAGAAAATTCCAGGTCCAGAGGGCTTCACTGGTGAATGCCACCAAAATTTAAAGAAGAAATGCTATTTCAACACATTTTTAGAAAACAGAGGAGGAAGGAATACTTTCCAACTCATTTTCTTAGGCTAGCATTACCCTGATATCAAAACTAGACAAGAATATTAGAAGAAAACTAAAAACCAATTATCTCTGTTGAATTGAATTCAATAGATTTAAAAAGATCCTCAAAAAAAAAAAAAAAAAAAAAAAAGGGAAATGGAATGTAGTGAAATATTTTAATAAAGGGTAATATATCATGATCAAAAGTGGTTTATCCCAAGAACGGAAGGCTGATTTAACATTCAAATGGCAATCCATGTATTTCATCATATTAACAAAATAAGAAAGAAAAAACATAATACTTATCTCAATAAATGCGGGAAAAAACATATGATCTAATTCAACACCCATTCATCATAAAAACCCTCAGCAAAAAGGGAAGTCCATCAACCTGATAAAAGGCATTTACAAGAACCCTGGTTAACACTATACTCAATGGTGAGAGAGCTTTCCTTCATCGAGAGGGAACAAGGCTCTTCCCACTTCTATCCAATACAGTATGGGAGGTTCTGGTCAACAAAGTAAGACACACAAAGAAAGTTAGTTAAGCAATCATAGATATAAGGTCAATATACAAAAATAAGTTCTATTTCCATATACTGGCACCAAACAACTGGAAACTAAAATAAAAATATGCAATATACGATAGCATCGAAAGCCACAAAATACTCAGGGATAAACTTTACAAAGTATGTACAAGACTTAGACACGGCAAACTACAAAACATTGCTGAGTGAAATTTATAACAACCTAAACAGAGATTTATGCCATAGATTTACTATTGCTAAGATGCCAAATCTTCCCAAATTGACTTATAAATTCAATGGAATTCCAACAAAATTCCAAGCATGTCTGGTAAGCTGATTCTAAAATGTACATGGAAATGTTAAGGACCTAGAATAACCAAAAACAATTCTGAAAAAAGAAGAACAATAACAGAGAATTCGTATCACCTGACTTCAAAAATTAGGTATCGACAGAGTGAGATACTGGTAAAGGACAGACAGATCTAAAGAATAGAATAGAGTCCAGAATAGACCATTACAAATATGTTTAACCGATTTTCAACAAGCTACCAAGGTAACTCAATGGGAGAAAAGACAGTATTTTTAATAAATCGTGTTATAACAACTGTGTATCAGTATGTAAAAAAAAAAAACCTCAACCTTTACCCTATATGCAAAAATCAACTTGAAATAGCTCATAGACCTAAACATATAAGATACAACTATGAAACTTAAAATTTTAAAGTTTTTTTGCAATTTATAAAAACTTAAAACTAATTTTTTTAAACCCCAAAAACTTCTAGAAGAAAATAAAATATCTGCAATCATGGGGTAGTCAAAGATTTCTTAGATAGAACATAAAAAGCATGAACACCAAAAGAAAAAAAATGGTAAACTGAACTTTATCAAAATTTAAAACTTCTGCCCTTTAAAAAATACCATTACAAAAATTAAACCCAATCCAGATTGGGAGAAAATATTTGCAAAACATGTATCTGACAAATGACTTGTTAAGAACATAAAAAGAACTTTTACAAATAAATAGTAAGACAAACAGCCCAATAAAAAATGGGCAAAAGATTTGTTCAGACACTTCAACAAAGATACACAGTAAAAGATACTCGCCAATAAACATGTAAGATGATTCCCAACATCATTAGCCTTCAGGGAAATACAAATTAAATGATCAGAATGTAAAATGGTACAAACTCTGTGCAGTTTGACAGTTCTCTTGCTTTTCTTTCTCTTCTCTCTTTTTTTTTTTGGAACAGGGTCTCAGTCTGTGGCCCAGGCTGTCAGTGGCTCAATCATAGCTCACTGCATCCTCCATCTCTTGGGCTCAAGTGGTCCTCCTGTCTCAGGCAGGTACTACAGGTGAATGCCCCCATGCCAGCTAATTTTTAAATTTTTTTAATATAGAGATGTTGCCCAGGCTGGTCTCAAATTCCTGGGCTCAAGCAATCCTCCTACCTTGCCCTCTCAAAGTATTGGGTTTACAGGTGTGAGCCACTGTGCCCGGCCTGACAGTTTCTTATGGGTTAAATATATACTTATATGACATGGTAGTTCCGTTCCTAAAAATTTACCCAAGAGAAATAAACCATTTCCGCATAAAGACTTGTACATAAATGCTCACTGCAGTTTTATTCATAAAAGTTCCAAACTGGAAAGAACCTGAATATCAACCAATAGGTGAATGAACATATAAGGAAACACTACTCTGTGATGAAAAGAAACAAAGGAGTCATTCACTCAATAACATGGATATATCTCAAAAACATCATGCTGAGAAAAAGTCTGACATAAAAGAGTCACAGACAAATATGATCATCTGCAGGCAACATTTACATGAATTTGATGTTCAACACTTGATACCAAACCAGGTTATATCATAACAACTTTGGATAGGGTTTAAAATGAAGACAGAACTACTAATAGTGCTCTGTGCGTCTCCAACTATTTACTATACGTATAGCTCTCATATGACCCCCTAAAATACTTAAGTGTACTTATTTATTATAATTATTGCAGTAAAGCCAAAGTCCTGTTGGACTACAGGTTCTGTGTGATCCAGCTCCCACCTGCTCTAACCAGTAGTCTCCTTGCTGTAACTGGCATCTCAAGAGTCCTGCCATGGCCTCAGGACTTTGGCACTGCTATTTCTCTGCCTAGATCTTGCTCTGCCAGATACCCACATGGCTTAGCCTATCATTAATTTCAAGTCTCTGCTCAAATGTCACCATCCAGAAAGACCTGTCTTGGCTACCTTAGTTAAAATCACAACCTTTCTTATCCCTAGGACTCTCTATTCCCTTCCCTACTCACTCTCCCTAGCACTTTTCATCTTCTAATACAGTACACACTTTATTTTGTTAGTCTCTGTTCCTCCGGCAAACAGAGAGGGTAAGCTCCCAGAAGACAGAGTGTCTGTCCCTGCTGTAGCCTCAGAAACTGCAAAAGCATCTGGCCCAAAGCAGTGCTCAATAAACATCTGCTGAGTCTGTCTCCTTGACAGGCTACTTTTCACACAAGGACCCTGTCTACTTCATTTTTGCTTCCCAGTGCCTAATACAAGATAGTTGCTTAATGTTTACTGAATAAATAAGTAAATGAAATGAATTAGAGAAAAGGATGCCAGTTTAATAGCATTTAAGAGGCATATTTCCTCACCTGTAATTGTTGCTGTAGATGGGTGATTTCGGCAATTCTCAACTCTCTAGATTTGTTTGTGCTCTCAATTTCTTGCCTTTGGGTGGTCAATCGACATCTGATATCTTGAAGTTTCCCTTCTAGTTGATGCTTTTTATCATTCTTGAACAAATGAAAGAGTAATTAAAAATTATTACTGTTTTTAATGGTTCCATCTTAGTATATTTCCAAAGTATAACCAAACTTCACTCACTAGAGCTTCTAATTCAAATTCCAATGTCTTTTTCTTTGCTTTCAGTACAACTATGTCCTCTTGTTCTTTGTTTCTTTGATTTAGTAGTTCTTGCCTTCGATTCCGTTCCCACTCAAGTTGTCGTTGCCTTTCAAGTTCCCGTTTTGCAGCCTGTGACATTTACAAAGAGACAAATTACTAATTTTTCAGTTCTTACACTACACAATGTCTCTTCACAAAAGTGACATCTAGTAAGTCCTTCCTTTTAGGGATTAAATAATAAACATTACAGGAAATCACATTACAAAACAAAAAGTAACTTATAAAAATACGGTATTCCTTCTATGGGAATAAAGGGAATATACAGAGCTGACTATTATATTTATGTAATATTATATTTATGTAAGATGACAGGATCATTTCCCCATTAGAATTCCATTCTTTATACCTTCAAGAATGCTTGATGTACTAACTAAAAGTGCGCCTTCTTACTTACTGACACACCAAGAAGGAAAATTTCTTTATGTAGTAAAATCAAACTAAAACACCCCTGAACAAAAACAAACAAAAGTTGATTTTACTCCACCAAAAGAGAAATTATTATTTAACTCCAGCCTGGGCGACAGAGTGAGACTCTGTCTCAAAAAAAAAGGAGTTATGGCTATAAGTTTCGTTTCTTTCTTTTTTTTGAGACAGGGTCTTGCTCTGTCACCCCAGCTGGAATGCAGTGGCCCTCCAACTACTGGCCTCAAGTGATCATCCCTCCTCAGCCTCCCAAAGGGCTGGGATTACAGGCTTGAGGCATGGCACTCAGGCTATTTTTTTATATCGAAAAATTCCTCATTTTTATTATTCCATTAACATGAGAGAATTATGTGTTGCTTCTGCAGTAATGTACTAAAATTGGAAAGAGAGACAAGATTTGCTTAGTCCCTTTCCAGGTATGGTGCTAAATTTATGAAGACTTCCATAGAATATAGGGAGGATGTCCCACACATATTTTTAAAAGAGTTTAAAAAGAAGGTTGCACAGGCCGGGTGCAGTGGCTCATGCCTGTAATCCCAGCACTTTGGGAGGCTGAGGCGGGTGGATCACCTGAGGTCAGGAGTTCGAGATCAGCCTAACCAACATGGTGAAACCTAATCTCTACCAAAAATATGAAATATTAGCTGGGTGTTGTGGTGGGCACCTGTAATCCCAGCTACTCAGGAGGCTGAGGCAGGAGAATCGCTTGAACCCAGGAGGCAGAGGTTGCAGTAAGCTGAGATCACGCCACTGCACTCCAGCCTGGAAGTGACAGAGTGAGACTCTGTCTCAAACAAACAAACAAACAAAAGGAAGGTTGCAGAACAATGTAATTGGTATGACACTATTACAGTGGTTTTTTAAAAAATTGCACAACCCTTATACTCTCCACCATATAAACCTTTATATTTTTATATAGGTGTATACAGAGAAAACAGTTTGGAAAAACACGTAACTGGTATCAGTGGTTTGTTACAAAATTGTATCATCAAAAACTTGTACATTAATGTTCATAACAGCATTGTTTATAACAGCCACAATGACCATCAACTGCTGAATGAATTAAAAAACATGGTATACCCATATAATAAAATATTACTCAGCCATAAACAGGAATAAAGGACTGATTCATTTTACAATGTGGATAAAACTTGAAAACATCATGCTAAATGAAAGCCAGAAACAAAAGTCCATATATTGATGATTCCATTTATAAAAAATGTCCTGAATAGGTAAATCTAGAAAAACAGAAAGTAAATTAATGATAGACAGGAGCTGGAGGGAGAAAGAAATGGGGAGTAGCTGCTTAATGGGTAAGGAGCTGGAGTGATGAAAATGTTCTGGAATTAGGGATGATGGCTGCACAGCTTTGGGAATATACTAAAACTACTGAACTGTAAAAAGACAAAGATGGCATGAATAGATCACTTGGATAATTCTGAAAGGGGGTAATTGCACACTAACTCGGGGTGGCTCCACTCTCGCCTGCTTACCTCTCGCCTCTCAATTTCCTTCCTCCTTTCCTCCTCTCTCTGCCGTTCTAGCTCCCGCTGCTTTTCCAGTTGCTTCTCCAGTTCCAGTTGTCTTTTGCGCTCTTGCTCCTGGCGCTCACGCTCCTTCCTCTCCTGCTCTGCCCGCTCCAGCTGGGCCAGGCGCTCCTGCTCTTTGCGCTGCTGCTCCAGGAGAGCTTGCCTTCGTTTCTCCAGTTCCAGGTTGCCACGTTCAAAGTTCTCCCTCTTCTTATCTTCAAACGTTACTTCAGACAAGGAACACAGCAACTATGAAAGCTCATGATTTTCAACATACTCTTTTCAAAGGAAAACTCACCAGTGTATTTGAAACTTGTAGTACAAACCCAAACTCAGAACTCCCTAAGCTTCTGTGTCCTTGTTAATGAGCACAATAAAAACCCCCTTTGCCTAACCTCTCTGCTTGTGTCTTCTCCTCCACGCCAAACACTGTTTCTAAAAGACCCTTATCTAGCAGTTCTACATCACTACCCAGACTCCTTTCCTTCCCTGTTACTCCATCCTTTCCCTTCTTCCCATGAGCTTGCCTTAGGAATTAACCCCCTCTCTTCTGGACCATGAGTCTCTGCCTCTCTCCCTCCTTCCCCTTGTCTTATAACTGTGCTGATGAGTCCTGTATTCTAACAAGACTTCTCAAAGCAGAGCTAAAGGTGAGCTTTTCACACTGAAGAACAAGCTGTGTCCTTATCTCTACAGAGATCACAGTCAGTCAACAATTTTTTCTAACCCATTATTCAGTTTCCTTCTTTGATACATCAATTATAAATTTAGAATGATTACTCGGTTCTATCATTTTTTCTCTAAAACTTTGTTTATGTCCATTTTATTTCTACATTTTCTACAATCCCATCATCCGCGTCCCTTACTATCCTCAGCAGTGTCTATTTCATTTCTGTGTCGGCCTCACGCAATTCTCCTTGGTACCAACCCCGGCCAGGGGAGTGTTCATTGCCACCCTGTGCAGCATGCCAGTCCCTGGTCCACATCTAAGAACCATCACTTCTCACTCTGCCTTGAGATCTGCAGCTGTGAGCATCCTTCTTTGGCTTCTTCCCACATTCCTGTTTGGACTTCACTGCTTTAGATAGACTTCCTTCACATACTGTAGTCAGCGATTAGAGATGAAAGAGGGCAAGTATGTATTGGTTTCCTTGCTCACCTTTGGTAATTTCAGAGGAAACGGTGTCCTCTATTCTGATACTTAAAGTTCAAAGTCCTGGCTGGGTGCAGTGGCTCACACCTGTAATCCCAGCACTTTGGGAGGCTGAGGTGGGCAGATCACCTGAGGTCAGGAGTTTGGGACCAGCCTGGCCAACAAGGTGAAACCCCGTCTCTACTAAAAATACAAAAAAATTAGCCGGGTATGGTGGCAGGCACCTATAATCCCAGCTACTTGGGAGGCTGAGACAGGAGAATCGCTTAAAGCTGGGAGGCAGAGGTTACAGTGAGCCAAGATTGTGCCACTGCACTCCAGCCTGGGTGACAAGAGTAGACTCCATCTTAAAAAAAAAAAAAAAAAAAATTTCAAAGTCCCCCTACCACAGAAAGGGATGATGTAAGGTGATACATCTGCAAGGTGGATGAATCTCAAAAATATTGTGCCAAGTGAAAGATGTCAGTTATAAACAGTCATACATGATTCAATTTATATGAAATATCCACAATAGGTAAATCCCAAGAGACAGAAAGCAGATTGGTGGTTGCCACAGGCTGGAGGGAATGATGGATATGGAGTTTTGTTTTGGGGTAAGGAGAGTATCTTGGGACAAGAGAGAGGTTGTGACTGCAAGACACTGTGAGTGCACTAAATGCCATTGTTAGGAACTGAATGTTTGTGCCACCTCACCAAAATCCATACTTTTAAGCCCTAATTACCCTAATGTGATATTTGGAGATGGAGCCTCTGGAAGGTTAAGATTAGATTAGCTGGCCAGGCGTGGTGGCTCACGCCTGTAATCCCAGCACTTTGGGAGGCTGAGGCAGGCAGATCACCAGAGGTCAGGTATTTCAGACCAGCCTGACCAACATGGAAAAACCCTGTCTCTACTTAAAATAAAAAATTAGCCAGGCGTGGTGACGCATGCCTGTAGTCCCAGCTACTTGGGAGGCTGAGGCAGGAGAATCGCTTGAAGCCGGGGGGCAGAGGTTGCGGTGAGCTGGCATCACACCATTGCACTCCAGCCTGGGACACAAGAGCAAAACTCCGTCTCAAAAAAAAAAACAAAAACAAAAAACAAACAATTAGCTGTAAGAGTGGGGCCCTTATGATAAATTAATTTCCTTATAAAAAGACGGGGACGGCCGTGCGCAGTGGCTCACACCTGTAATCCCAGCACTTTGGGAGAGCGAGGCGGGTGGATCACCTGAAGTGAGGAGTTCGAGACCAGCCTGACCAACACGGTGAAACCCCATCTCTACTAAAAATACCAAATCTGCTGGTGTGGTGGCGCATACGTGTAATCCCAGCTACTTGGGAGGTTGAGGCAGGAGAATCGCTTGAACCCAGGAGGCGGAGGTTGCAGTGAGCCAAGATTACGCCACTGCACTCCAGCCTGGGCAATAAGAGTAAAACACTGTCTCAAAAAAAAAAAAAAAAAAAAAAAAAGGCAGGGACAGAGATAGAGAGAAGAGAGAGAGAGAGAGCGCTGTCTCTCTCTGCATGCATGAACCAAGGAAATCCCATGTGAGCAAAAAAAAAAGTGAAGGCTGCTGTGTGCATGCCGGGAAGAGGGCCCTCACTGGGAACCAAACCTGCACACTGTGATCTTGGACTTCCAGCCTCCAGGACAGTGAGAGAGAAAATTCCTGCTACTCAAGCCACCCCGTCTATGCTATTTTGTTATGGCAGCCCAAAAAGACTAAGACAGCCACTGAACTGTACATTTTGTATTATGTGAATCTCATCTCAACTTAAAAAACTCTCCAAGTCTCTATATATCTTTTTAATTCCAGCATCTGGCAATATTCCTAGTACGTAGAAGGCATACAATAAATGGCTGTTGAAAGAATGAATGCACAAATGAAATCTCTGATAATGTTGTTTCCTGTTCAAATTTTTAAATGAATGTCTACTAAAAACGGAAAAAGAAAATTCTGCATTCCAAGCATTCCTGTCCTTATTTGCCATTGAAACTTGATTCTCATTGTGACCAAAACCTGAAATATTCTCACTTCCACTTGTGGTGACCCTATTCATCTTGAAGTCTCAACTCAACTGTGACCTCTTCCACAGACATTTAATTCCTCATATCTTCCCCAGTCTACACCAACCAACCATAAGTGAGGTCTGTTGTGCATCTATAATACTCTCCAGGAATTTATCCCACTCACGTACTGCTTAAGTGATTGCTTATATGGATATCTTAAATCCTCTAATACATTTTAAAGTTTCTAGAGAGTATGAACCATGTATTAGCATTTAGATTCTTTGCTCAACATGCAGCCTTGCACACAGAATATATCCAATAGTATTTCATCAGTGAACAAAGGGTAATTTAGTTCAGACAATAAACTGGGACAGCTAGTGTTCTGACCAGACCAATTAACTGCTGAGCATCTTAAATGCAGCAAAATGACACCGACAAAGTACTTATCATAAAAGACTCCATAATTTCATTTGCTTCTTAGTATCATTATCATCTCACCATTAATAATTCATAGCCACCTTAGAATATTTTAATAGTATGATGGATTTATCACTGTAAATGAGGACTATTTAAAATAGGTTCAGGCCGGGCGCAGTAACTCACGCCTGTAATCCCAGCACTTTGGGAGGCCGAGGTAGGTGGATCACTTGAGGTCAGGAGTTCAAGATCAGCCTGGCCAACATGGTGAAACCCTGTCTCTACTAGAAATACAAAAATTAGCCGGGCGTGGTGCACATGCCTGTAGTCCCAACTACTGCAGAGGGTGAGGCAGGAGAATCGCTTGAACCTGGGAGGTGAAGGTTGCAGTGAGCCTACATTGCGCCACTGCACTCCAGCCTGGGTGACAGAGTAAGACTCTGTCTCAAAAAACAAAATAAAATAAAACAGGTTCACATTAAATTTAAAATAGGTTCCTGTAATTAAGGAGTTTCCAATTCTCTTATAACAACATGAGAAAATAACAGTAGATGATTTGACTTTCTATTTCTGCACTGGTGGTATTAAGCAATCACCTTAATACTCATCAATTTTTAGTGCTGTATATTCTATGGATAATATTTACATAATTTTTGTGTAGCAGTTTTATAATCAGATTTCAAGTTACAAGTTAGAACAACAGTGCATTAGCAGAGTGCATAATGTTCTTATTTCTCTATCCAGACCCAAATCCACAAGTAACAATATCTCTGACTAAGGTCAGTTAAGTTACAAGGCAAAAATATCAAAAACTAAATTTATGTTTACCTCTTTGTCTTAGAGATAGGAAATCTCTAATTTCATTTAATCTAAATGATTTAACTCAATATAAAGGCTGCCTTACCAGGTAATTTCTTTTCTAATTGTTGTTGTTCATCTTCTAAAACTGGTTCCTCTGGTAGCCTCTGATCTACAGATGTTGAGCTTATGACAGATATACCACTGCCAGATCGAACTCTTCTGCAATTGTGGGGAAAAAGAAAAATGCATTCAGACAGAGCTGTCTGGGTGGAGTTGGACAAGTTATGAAGAAGAATTTTTAAAGATTTTACCATACCATGAGCAAATTTCATTTATAGTACAGAAGAGATAAAGATTTGGTCTTCTCTATTTACAAAGAGTTTTTAAATGAATATTTGAATGTCATCAGACTCTGAGTGCCAAGCTTGTTTAGGAATCACCACCAAAATTGAAATAATCCCAAAGGATGAAAGTAGTTAATAATCAAAAAGTGGTAAGAACAATGCCTGGGACATGGTGAGCACTAAGTGGGAGCTGCTATTTCCATTGCCCTCTCAAGTGACCTTAAATTCCTCCAAGAGAAGATCAGCAGCTCAACTCACTGGGAGCATCTCTCTTCCCTTTCCAGTCTCTCCATTTCACCCCCTAAGAAACACATGCAATGTTTATACTTTACAGTTCATAAAACAAATCACTTTGTTTACTAATTTCTTTCACTTTACACTTTTATTTATTTATTTATTTATTTATTTATTTATTTATTTATTTTGAGACAAAGTCTCACTCTTGTCCCCCAGGCTGGGGTGCAATGGTGCAATCTCAGCTCACCATAACCTCTGCCTCCCGGGTTCAAGCAATTCTCCTGCCTCAGTCTCCCAAGTAGTTGGGATTACAGGTTCCTGCCACCATGTCCGGCTAATTTTTATATTTTTAGTAGAGACGGGATTTCACTATGCTGGCCAGGATGGTCTCCAACTCCTGACCTAAGGTGATCCACCCGCTTTGGCCTCCCAAAGTGCTGGAATTACAGGAGTGAGTCACCGCACCACTCGGCCCACTTTACACTTTTAACTTTGCTGTGTTTAAACAGTCTCCCAATCCTTTTTACGCGTTTATTATCAGCCCAATGTTGCAGTTGTGGGATTTCACAAAGTGCCTCAGCTACCTGTTGCTTCCTACATTGTCACAGTTTCCTCAGCTTGCTCCTGTACCACGTGTGTGCTGACAGTAATGGCTCTATTTCTCTTCATTTAAAGGGGATTTTGCCCCAGTCCTTCCTGCAGTTTGAGGACTCAGGACAGAAATCCTAATCTTTCTTTCATTCTCCTTTGTATTTGCAAGATCTCATATTCAGTTTTTAATGTTCAAAGCCAGAAGACAGAGCTGTCCTGGACAGCGTGTGCATGCAGGAATGGATGTAAACGTGGATGCCAGTCATAATACTGGACCTCAGGTGACTCTCTTGCCATCTTTACTGAGACTTTCTTTCAGTCCAGGGTAATTTTCTTTAATTGTCTTCCTGATTATAATTTCTATATTGCTAGCAGCTTTTGTTACCACTGAAATGTGTGGAATTTACAGGTGTGATCTCCTTGGTTTCTTCTCTATGCACATGCTCATGCAGTTTCTCTTTTGCTGCTGGCATCTGTCGTGAAAATTTCTGGTAAGCATTGATGACATAGGTTGGTACAAAATCAACAATCTTTTGATGTCTTACTTCATTGTTTCACTAATATACTACAAGTACTCTGGAGAACAGAATGGGCCCAAGATTAACATAGATCTAGATAAGAGTCTCTAGAATTCACGAATACTTAGTTTCCTTGTCAGGGATGAAAATCAGGTAAGACACATAAGTCAATAAAGCCAAGTTTGGAATTCATATACTCTACACACAATTTCTGATCAGAGCCAATGTTCCTTACCTAAAGGAAGGTGGAATGTATTCTGGAGGCAGGACAGGTGGCAGTGGTTGGCCAGACATAGCTACATCAATGAGGTGCATTGCCAGGATAAATTCTTCTGCTGTAAGTTTTCCATCTTGATCAATGTCAGAAAGATTCCTATTCAACAAAAAGTTTGCTGTAATCCAGTTTCATGAAAATTCATGCTTTTTACTATTCATGAGTGATTTAAAAGTTCTGTTTTCTTACTGACCACAGGCCAACTGAGTCTCTTTGTCCCTCAGCTTGTCAAAATAGTACCTACTTCATACTGTTACAAAGATAAAATTACAAGTAGCTGGGACAGTGTTCCTCATTCAACAAACGCTATGATTATAATGATACTATTCCCCAACCTTTGCATATTTAAAATATAACACACTCATATTCCACGTATCTTTTTAAAGAGGTGAGCTCTCACTCTGTTACCCAGGCGGATGTGCAATGACATGATCATAGTTCACTGCAGCCTCACTGCAGTCATGATCATAGTTCACGACAAGTCTTTCCGGGTTTAAGTGATCCTCCTGCCTCAGCCTTCCAAATAGTGAGATTACAAGGTGTGCGCCACCATGCCTAGCTAATTTTTAAAATATTTTATAAAGATGGGGGTCTCACTGTGTTGCCCAGGCTGGTCTTGATCTCTCCTGGCCTCAAGTGAGCCTACCAAATCGCTGGGATAATAGGCATAAGCCACCACACCCAGCTCTGTATCATCAAATGTTCTGCTCTAGACCAGGAAATGATAAACTATCAGTAAAGGGTCAGGTAGTAAATATTTTATAGTTTATAAGACATACAATCCCTATCCTACTGAACTGTCATTTTGGCAGGAAAGTAGCCATACAAACACATAAATGAATGGGCATGGCTGTTTGTACAATAAAAATTTTCTTCACAAAAACAGATGCAGGCCAGATTCGGCCCACTGGGCGTAGCTGGCCACCACCCCTTAATCTAGGACTGCAGGGTGGATCTTTATGAACTCCAGCCACAGAGTCAAAGTGTTTTATCTTCCTCAATCTCAGGATTCAATCTCCATCATTCTTCATAATGACTCCATCATTCTTCATAATGAACTTGCCCAAGTAGCTAATTACAGAAAACATTTTCCTAGCAAGTCCAAGAATGTGATTTTACTTAACAATTTCTGGACAGTCAAAAGAAGACACATGACAACACATCCGTTCACTAGAATGTCAACAGGACAAATGCAATGGTAAACTGGCTTTGCCAATGCCAAAAATTAAGAAACCTTCTTAATTCTGAAATTTCTTTAGGTGCTATAAACTTTTTTTTTATTGTTATAATTTCCATAAAGTAGCGTGCACACCTTCTAGAGTATAAGTCTGAGAGTTTTGACAAATATGAACCACAACATACAGAATACTGTCAGTTTAGCCTAAAATTCCATGTCTCTTTGTAGCAACTCCCTCCTTTGCCCCCAGCCCCTGGCAACTGCTGATTTCTTTTCGGTTCCTCTAGTTTTGCCCTTCCCATATGCAAGACACCCAGTTTTAAAAAGAAATGCAATTGAAATAAAATGAAACCCCTGCCCGCTCCTTCTTATTCTCTGTTCCTTTTTGTGTCTCACCATCAGCCAGTCCTAGGTAAACCAGTTAGAAGGTAGTTGAAATTCTTACTTGTTTTTTCATCACACTTGCCTAAATTATGATTATAAGCATTTAAATAAAATATCTTTTGTAGTGTGTAGTAGCAGAATATAACATTCTAACAGGAGAAGCCTCAAGTGTTTTTCTCAAATCGGATAAGTTATACATGAAAAATTTAAAATAAACATTTCAATATAATCTGGTATCATGAGAACAATACAACCTAATAAATTGTCAACCAACCTCCATTAATGCCAGATCTTAAGTTTGTATTTCAGGGGGTCCTAGGATACTGTTCAATACCCAGATTTAAAGAGGTCTGGGTGTGTCAAAGATATAAGATGTATATTAACTGGTCTAGTCTACTGCCAAAGGCAAGCTCTTTCATATAAAACAGAAGGGAAGAGAAGGGCAAAGGGAGCTGCATTAGAGCTTGATCATTTGTGAAACAACCATATCAACGTGGCCTGCAAGAAAATCACGAACTCTGCAGTGAGCTTTGTAGACAAGGTTTATTTTCCAGGGATAATCACCAACATATAGCTATAACACGCACACTTCTTAAGAAACCATTCTGGTTAACATTTAAATTTTAGGAAGCCTGTAGGACCTAGGCAATGCTCATCGATAGCTATTCAAAATCCTCACACAATAGAGACATTATGTGCCTCTTGAGGAAAGTACGCAGAGACCTCTCTGGCAGAGTCTTATCAAAAACAAAACAACAAAAACAAAAAATCAAATCTGACCTGCACTTCTCAACCAGGGATGATTGTGTACCCCAAGGCACATCTATCAAAGTCTGGAGACATTTCTGATTGTCATGCTGGGTGTGGAGCTCATGCTACTGGCATCTAGCATCTAGTGAGGAGTGGCCGGAGATGCTACTGAACATCCTACACTATACAGGACATCCCCCCACAACGAAGATTTATCGGGCCCAAAATGTCAGTAATGCTGGGGTTGAGAAACTTTGCTCTATATCTAATTACCAATTTACAGGAAATACAGAAACAAATTAGACAATCCCACAGTGATGCAATCTTCAAAAGTTAAGCCATTAAGAAACTATAGGACAAATGATCTGGTTTGTTTTTAACAGAGTTTGTTTGTTTGTTTTTCTTTGGGGTGGCCTGGGGGACTTGAGAAAAGAAGCAGAGAATAAGACAAGGGGAAATTTATAGATTAAAGGAGACATACAAGATGGAACAATTAAGTATTGCAAAATATAGGCTTATTTCAGTCCTGATTTGAACAAATAAACTATAAAACCATTTTGAGGCAATCTAAGGAATTTGAACACTACCTGATGAATGATAAGGATGACTACTAAAAAATTTAGGTGAGCTATTGGTATTAGGACTATGGCAAAAAGAAAATCGGTCAGGCGCAGTGGCTCACCCCTGTAATCTCAGCATTTTGGGAGGATAAGGTGGGCAGATCATCTGAGGTCAGGAGTTCAAGACCAACCTGGCCACCATGGCAAAACCCCATCTCTACTAAAAATACAAAAATTAGGCAAGCGTGGGGGTTCATGCCTGTAATCCCAGCTACTAAGGAGGCTGAGGCAGGAGAATAGGTTGAACCTGGGAAGTGGAGGTTACAGTGAGCCAAGATGGCACCACTGCATTCCAGTCTGGATGAAAGAATGAAACTCCATCTCAAAAATAATAATAATAATAATAAATTTAGAAAGGAAAATCCCTCTCTTTTGAAGATACGAGCTAAAATATTTGCAGCAGAAATTATATAATAACTAAGATTTGGCTTAAAATAATCAAAGAGGCTGGGCGTGGTGGCTCACGCCTGTAATCCCAGCACTTTGGGAGGCTGAGGCGGGTGGATCACCTGAGGTTGGGAGTTCAAGACCAGCCTGACCAACATGGAGAAACCCGGTCTATACTAAAAATACAAAATTAGCCGGGCGCGGTGGTGCATGCCTGTAATCCCAGCTACTCGGGAGCTGAGGCAGGAGAATCGCTTGAACCCGGGAGGCAGAGGTTGCAGTGAGCCGGTATCATGCCACTGCACTCCAGCCCGGGCAACAAGGGTGAAACTCCGTCTCAAAAAAAGAAAGGGAGAGCCAAGATTGGTCATGAGTTGAGAACTGAGTTGTATTCAACATGAGTTGAATACAACTGTTAAGTTGTATTATCACTTCTTGAGAACTTATTGCATTAATCTGCTTTTTTTTTTTGAGACGGAGTCTCACTCTGTCGCCCAGGCTGGAGTGCAGTGGCACAATCTCGGCTCACTGCAAGCCCCGCCTTCCAGGTTCATGCCATTCTCCTGCCTCAGCCTCCTGAGCAGCTGGGACTACAGGCCCCGCCACCACGCCTGGCTAATTTTTTTTGTATTTTTAGTAGAGGCGGGGCTTCACCATGTTAGCCAGGATGGTCTCGATCTCCTGACCCCATGATCTGCCCTCCTCAGCCTTCCAGAATGCTAGGATTACAGGCGTGAGCCACCGTGCCCGACCGCTTTTGTATTTTTCAAAATCGAGACAGGAAATAGTATTAAAAAAGAGGCAATCATTACAACTCATTGAAATTAAGCAAATTCTACATATTCCCCCATAAAAAAGCGGTATTAATCTAAAACCCATGAGGCCACATCAATCTAAGCAAGTTTCCACTTTATCCAAACCAAAGAACTTTTCATTCCTTACCATATTGAAGCCAGCTGAGCCTGTGGTAAACTTGATTGCATAAGAATAGTTCTTGCTTGGGGACCTAAACAGGAACCGGGGAAAGGACATACAGATGAGCCAGCAAATACTCACTGTACAGGAGGACCAGGGTTCTGTGTATATGGACTACTCCATGACTTCATGCAATCACAATGCTTTAAATAACATTTGCTACTACTGCAGGGGCTTTGTAAAAAGGAAATTAAACTCCAATGAAAAAGGGGAGAAACACAGAGCACAGCATCTGACACATAATAAATTTTTGTTAAATGGATGTTTGATAAAGAATGACCATGTGAAAGATTTAGAGTTTCAAAATATAACCTGACCTTTTGTCCACATGACCATCTTTATTTGTACCGGGCTTTATTTACAAAGTTGAAACTTATTCTCTTTAAGTTTAACATCTTTTGCCACTGCTACCACCTGCTGCCTCCACCCTGCTCAACCTCAGGCAAATTCAGGGAAATTTCGGAGAATCTTAGAGGAGGAAGGGACCTTGGAGAGATCTCCGGGAAACTGTTTCACTAAACAGACTTAAAAAGAAAAAAAAAAAAAAAAAAGTTGCAGGAAGGGCTGACAGCCAGTATTAAAACACATTTCCAGCCTGCCGTGGTCGCTCACGCCTGTAATCCCAGCATTTTGGGAGGCTGAGGCAGGCAGATGGCTTGAGCTCAGGAGTTCGAGACCAGATGGCAAAACCCCATCTCCACCAAAAGTGCAAAAAATTAGCTGGGTGTGGTGGCATGAGCCTGTGGTCGCAGTTACTCGGGAGGTTGAAGTAGGAGGATCGCTTGAGCCCCAGAGGCAGAGGCTGCAGTGAGCCAAGATTACGCCACTGCACTCCATCCTGGGTAACAGAGTGAGACACTGTCTCAATTAAAAAAACCAAACAAATCACATTTTCTATGTTAGCCAAGAAAAACAAAAAAACAAAAAACAAAAAAAAAAGAATTATTCCTGGAATTTCAACTCTTTTCTCAAAATGAGCTCTCATTTCTTAAAATAATCATAAACATCTTCACTTTTGGTATGAAAGTGGCCTTAGACATCAGACAAAAGCACAGTAGGAGACTGTTTAAATAAACGAGGGTCAGCGAGGGAGAAATAAACATGTCTTCCTTTCCAGCACTGCCCCTCAAGGTGTGGTCCCAGGAAGACTGATGGACAGAGGAATGGAAGGCTGTGGCAATTCTGTTGCGAAGATTCTGGTATATATGCTTTGCTTTTCGCTATTATTTCATTCTTCAAACGCCACCTCATCAAAACCCACAAAACTGGATGTGTTTTTGCTTGGCCAGCAGTAGAGGTCAGGGAACCAAGGAGCTTAGGCTCTAGTCCTGGCTTAGTCTAGACTTTGCTGAGTGACTGGGAGAGGTAGTCTGGACCCTAGTTTGCTCATTTCAGATAAACCGGTCTATGATCCACTGGGGCAGTGAGCTTAGCATCACATTAGCACATGAAAGGTGCTCTAATGGCAGGTAACATTACTGACAAGAGTTCAACTTTTATTTACATATAAAATCCTGACAGAAAAGCACACATATGGATACATGTGGATATATACACGTGCACATGTACACAGCTGAATTGATTTTCCAAAGTGAAAATACTCAAACACTATGGAGGTCATGAAAGAGAGTATAATCGTACCCCAGATGCCCCTCTTTGTCTCTCTTTTAGTATCACCTACCACCAAGGTAGCCTAACTTCTACCCACTGTCTGTCCGCTGTTCCACCTGGCTTATTTTGCTCCGAGTTGTAGAACATTAATCCTCACTGCTATGTAGTGTATCATTGTGTCATTATATCCCAATTTCTTGTCCATTCTACTGTTTTCTTTTCTTTTTTTGAGATGGAGTCTCGCTCTGTCACCCAGGCTGGAGTGCAGTGGTGCCATCTTGGCTCCCTGCAACCTCCACTACCTGGGTTCAAGTGATTCTCCTGCCCTCAGCCTCCTGAGTAGCTGGGACTACAGGCATGCGCCACCAAGCCTAGCTAATTTTGTATTTTTTTTTAAATAGAGATGGGGTTTCCCCATGTTGGCCAAGCTGGTCTCAAACTCCTGACCTCAAGTGATCCGCCCACCTCAGCCTCCCAAAGTGCTGGGATTCCAGGTATGAGCCACTGTGCCCAGCCTGTCCATTCTATTGCTGATAGGCATTCAGGTAGTTTTCAATTAGGGCTACTATTAATAGTGAGCATTCTAACTTTTGGTGAATATATGAACACATTCCTGCTGGGTATGTGTGGGTATATGAGCATGTGTGTGTTTTGGGAGCATCTAAGAATAAAAAATCTACTGAATTCATGTGAAGATTCTAAAGGACTGTGGTACAATGGAATAAGCAAAGTTCAGGCATCACTTTCTTTAGTCTGTAACACTGCACCTAGAATGTTGGTAACAAAGTGGAATTAACAAAACTTTAGTGGATGATTTAATTTACACTTGCAAAAACAGCCCTTACTCTGGAACGATATAAAAGGAAGTTAAATATTTTATCTATTACACATAAAAAGCCTAACAATAAATGTGAAGAACTAGCTCTAAACCTGGATATCAGGAGACTTGGATTCTAGTCCTGACTCCCTAATGGCATGTGGCATTAACAAAACTACTTTAATTCTAAAATGAAGTTTTTCCATCTGTGAAATGAGGAAAATAATCTATAACAGAGATTGGTAAAGTATAGCCCTTAAGCCAGCTCTGGCCCACAGCCTGTTTTCGTAAGCAAAGTTTTATTAAAACAGCCATATCCACTGATTTAAGCACGACATATGGCTGCTATTATGCTACAATGGCAAAGTTACGTAGTTGCAGCAGAGAACATATGACCTATGAGCCTAATATTGTGCTATTCTTTACAGAAAATGTTTGCTGATCCCCACACTAGAAGATCACAATTATCTCTTGTAATTCTACTATTTGTCTATATATGTCCTAAATTGATGTTGCAGAACATTAGAAATAGACCAGCAACAGCTAAGATAGCATCTTAGCACATTTGGACAACACACAGTTAAGCTTTGAGCGCACAGAACTCTTCTGTTGAAACCTAGGTACATAAAGGGATATCGGTTTTGGAGTACTGGCTTATAAGGAAACATTGGAATAAAACCAGAAATCCCAAGCACACAAACCCCACTTCTGGCACCCATGTTTGGGCAGGGAAGTATGGCTAGAAAGGAGAGAGCAACTACATGAAACGAGCTTTATTTGAAATAATGACTAAGACTTTAGCTTTTCTAATTAACAGATGAATTACCAAATAGCATATTCATTGTTTCAGAATGCAAGAATAAAATACCTCTTTGAGAAGAGGGGCTAGCAGTAACAGGAATACCAGAGTTCTAGAGCTTCTTACATAACCTTAATTAAAGAATGATCCCTCTCTATAAGGCTGTCTCTTTTAAGGGCATGCAACAGTATACACATCAAGCCGTGAGGGAAGAACATGGTGTACAACAGGACGTATCGGCAAAATCAACCCAGGTAATCAGTGGGCTAAACAGTGCCACTGCTAAAGCCAGGCACTGTGGCTCACGCCTATAATCCGACCACTTTGGGAGGCAGAGGTAGGCAGATGGCTTAAGCTCAGGAGTTTGAGACCAGCCTGGGGAACATGGCAAAACCCAGTTTCTACAAAAAGTACAAAAAATTAGCTGGGTATAGTGGCGCATGCCTGAAGTCCCAGCTACTGGGGGGCTGAGGCGGGAGGATCCCCTGAGCCTGGGAAATCAAGGCAGCAGTGAACTGTGATCATGTCACTGTACTCCAGCCTGGGTGCCTGTAATCCCAGCACTTCGGGAGGACAAGGTGGTAGGATTGCTTGAGGTCAGGAGTTCAAAATCAGCCTGGACAACAAAGCAAGATCCCACCTCTAAAGAAAAATTTTAAACAAATTCAATTTCTATTGTTTATTCCCATTTTAAAATTTACTGTAATAAATTATTCTACTTGACATGACTATACAAAGGTCTGGTTCAAAAGTAAAATTCCCACCTTAAATTCTTGCTGGATCAAAGTAGCAATAAGTACGCAGATAAACAATATCAAAATCTGCCTTCTTCCCAGTATATTTCAAATTTTACTTTCTGCCTCAGGTATTTAAAAGTTCTAAATGTTCAAGTGCCTGGGTCATTATATTTGGAATGTAGATACTGCATTTCATTCATAAAACACAAATCCTACCAAGAAAGAGAGAATTTCTCAATCAATGTCTCAATTGAATACTATTTTAATCAACTCAAAGCAAACACCAACAACGTTTTCAAGAAATATTTTTGGATTAATTGGCAATGTAGTTCTGGGTTTGTATGGAGCGCTGGTGTCAAACCACCATGTAAAACAGTACTTAAAAATATGCTATTAAATATACCTTCAGTGGGCTGGGTGCGGTGGCTCATGCCCATAATCCCAGCCTAGTTTATGCAGGCTCTGTTTTTTTTTTTTTTTTTTTTTTGAGTTGTAGCTTCACTCTTGTTGCCCAGCCCGGAGTGTAATGGTGCGATCTCAGCCCACTGCAATCTCCACTTCCTGGGTTCAAGTGAGTCTCCTGCCTCAGCTTCCCAAGTAGCTGGGATTACAGACATGTACCACCACTTTGGGGGGCTGAGGTAGGTAGATCACCTGAGGTCAGAAGTTTGAGACCTGCCTGAGCAACATGGTGAAACTGTGTTTCTACTAAAAATATAAAATTAGCCAGGCTAATTTTAAATTATTAAATTATATATACAACTTGAAACAGCGACTCGGTCTATTGTGTTTATCCATGATTCTGGAAAAATAATTATTTTGAGGGAAATGTTTATGATCTTAAAAATGGAAAATACCCATGGCCAAAAAAAAAAAAAAAGAGTGATAATAAAATGAATAAAATATGAAAGTTAGATATGATTATCTAGAGAAGTTCTTAGTTTACTATCATTGAGGAACTTTACCAGGCTGTTCCTTATGGATAAGGAGGGAGTGCAAGGGCGCGATCTTGGGTCACCGCAACCCCCGCCTCCCGGGTTCAAGCAAGTCTCCTGCTTCAGTAGCTGGGATTAGAGGTGCCCACCACTACGCCCAGCTAATTTTTGTATTTTTAGTAGAGACCATGTTGGCCAGGCTGGTCTCGAACTCCTGACCTCAGGTGATCCACCTGCCTCGGCCTCCCAAAGTGCTGAGACTGGGATTATAGGCATGAGCCACAGCGCCCAGCCTTCTTTACAACTTTCTAACAAGTATTTAACCCTTCATGAGAAAAATTCTGAACGGTATGTTAAAATTCCTGTCTATCCTTCTGATGTAGATAACAGAATCATTCTTCTTTTAAAAAAATCCTTTGAGATCACCTAAGTTAACTCTGGCCTTTTATATTACTAGACAAAGAAATATCCAAAGTGGTGAGCCCTATCTGGGCAGTGACAGAGCCATGTTCCCAACTCCCTGCTTTCACCCTGCCTGCTGCCTCCAACTCTAACCTAGTGAACAGACAGCTTCAAGTTCATCAAGTTCAAAGCTGGACTTCAGAAGCTGAAGCTAGTTTTTGTTCAAAGAAGTGTTTCTTTGCTAGTGCCTTGATTTGCATATCAGTGGTTTGCAGTGTACAGGAGTATCCCTGGTCTATGTTCCATTTTACCACGAAGCAATGGGGCATGAGAGAATGATATAACTACATAAAGAGTTATCAGTGGATAAGAACACGAGATAACAGAGACAATGAAAACACGGCTAAGAAATAAGCACATAGACATTTGGAAAATATCCATGACCCAATATCTAGAAACAGTTTGCGTTGAAAACAAAGATCATATTTCACTAATTTTTATTTGTAAATACCTGTTAAGTGTCCACTCATAGTTTTGTCATGACTATTGAATAATTGCCTGTATTTCAGTCTTGATGACTGAGGAACAGCCCATTCTGCCACTGGTGGGACACTGTGGGGAAAAGAAAAAGGAAAGAGGATTATCCATAAGGAACAGCCTGGTAAAGTTCCTCAATGACAGTAAACTAGGAACTTCTCTAGATAATCATATCTAACTTTCATATTTTATTCATTTTATTATCACTATTTTTTTTTTTTGCCATGGGTATTTCCAATTTTTAAGATCATAAACATTTCCCTCAAAATAATTATTTTTCCAGAATCATGGATAAACACAATACACTTAGTGGCTGTTTCAAGTTCTATATATAATTTAATAATTTAAAGGTTCTATAAAAGTATGAAAAACCTCTTGTAACTGAGGTAATACAGTAATATCCAGGCTATTCTAATTTCGAAAACACTTCGTTTTTGGTTAAAAAGCAATGCTAAAAGCAAACCAGTAACTGCCTTTAAAGGTACTAATTCTCCAAAAATGTTTTAACTTTCTATACACGAATATACAGGACCCATTTCTTAACGAAGTGAAATTACTCCATTCTGTAAGTTTAAATCCAGACCCAATGGACGGTTTCCCATAGAGAGAGAGAACAGAACATTTCCAGGGTCATGACACATAAGCAGAGTGGGAATGGAGACAACTTCACTTCCTTGACCACAATCCAATACTGATCTCTCCTTGACAACGTGCCACAATCCTGACCTGGCCCAAGGACACATCTGTCAGTAGTTCAGCTGGGTCTATACTTCCTTAGTGATTAGTTCCTCAGATGCCACTGTCCACACAAATATCACACTGGTACCAATGGCCTGTTAAGCTTCGACATCTAAATGAAACCCAATGGCTGAGCTCAGACAGTAAAAATGGCATTCCCCTTCCAGGACAGATTATAACGAATGCTCTGTTTGCAATTTCATTTCAACAAAGAAATCTATTTCAAACATGTAAAAGCAAAATCTTACTGAAATATTGAACTTTTTAATCATCATTTCCATGTGTCACCTATGCACTTATACCTATTATACACAGTTCAAGTATAGGAAATAGCTCCCAAACACTGGAGAAGTACTTATATGAATTCACCTTTTTCAATTTTTATGAATTTCTTAATAAAAAACACTTACCACGATCTACTCTGCTGTAGGTACTTCAGCATCAACTTTCTCATGTTAAACTAACTAGTATTTTGCTGATTCCAACTCCTGCCTATTTGTCAAGAAGCTAACTATCTAGTTCCTACATGCCAGGAATGCTGGGTGTTACACACAGAAGTTGTCCCAGATTACACTTATCACATCAGAGTTTTCTGCCAAATTCCTGAGAATTTAAATAGACTAAAAACTCATTAAGATGTACCCAAAAGTTCAATACTGCATTGCAAAAATTGGCTAGAAATTTAAGTTATTAACAAGGTGACAATTAACATTTAAAAAAAGTTGTTTTAACAGCACTAATGTTTGCTAATACTGATAGTTTATTCATTCTAATGTCACAAATCAATAAGGCAGGTTTCAAAATCATTTCTGCAAAGTCATAATAAACTCCAAACTTCAGCATGGTAAAGGATAATTTTTTTTTTTTTTTTTTTTAAGAAAGAATCTGGCCGTGTCGCCCAGGCTGGAGTGCAATGCTGTGATCTCGGCTCACTGCAACCTCCACCTCCTGGGTTCAAGCAATTCTCCTGCCTCAGCCTCCCAAGTAGCTGGGATTACAGGCGCCCGCCACCACGCCCAGCTAATTTTTGTATTTTTAGTAGAGATGGGGTTTCACCATGTTGGCCAGGCTGGTTTCAAACTCCTGACCTCATGATCTGCCCACTTCGGCCTCCCAAAGTCCTGGGATTACACCTGTATCCTACAATTAAATGAAGTTTTTTAGAGAAAACTTGCATAGTTAAGAACACACGCCTTAAAATCAGACATAACTCAGTTTGACTCAGCTCTGTCACTTCTGAGTTATGTTCTGTTGAGCAAGTTATATAATGTCTCTGAGCTTGTCCCTCATCTATAACGGAGAGTAACAGAATCATCTCATGGGGAAGAATGAGTTAATGTATATAAAGCTTTTGGCACAGTGCTTTTCAGTTTATGGATTTTCTTTAAATCATTTTTAAAAGTAATGAAGGCATCACTGAATTATATTCAACATGCTTTTCTCTTGAAAGTGGGAAAATGACTTGATTCACTTAACAATTTCCAGCTAGGATGACACAAGACAGGATAACTTCTAAAAGCTTTTTTTTTTTTTAAGGCAGGGTTAGGGTCTTGCTCCGCCATCACCCAGGCAAGAGTGCAGTGGCACTATCACAGCTTACTGCAGCGTCAATCTTCCTGGCTCCAGCCATCCTCCCATCTAATTTTAAAATGTTTGTATTAACAAGGTCTCCCCATGCTGCCCAAGCTGGTCTCAAACTCATGGGCTCAAGCGATCCTCCTGCCTCAGCCTCTCAGAGTGCTGGGATTACAGGCGTGAGCCATCACACCCGGCCCAAGTTTTGAGATGGCTTAAAAGAGACTTAATTTCTCATCTTAGTGTAGCAGTATGCAAGGGTAAAACATAGGAGTAAAATAAAATTAAAAATATGAAAGGTAATAATTGAAACCAAGGTTGACCAAAACATAAGCAATAATTGAGCCATATATTTGATTAATGTGAATTGTCCACAATCTGGATAATTTATTTCATAATAAATGGTCTTTAATAGGATGTTACTAACTACCCATATGAACTCTGTAAGATTATCTGAGATAGAATTAAAAATAAGGCCAACTATAACTCCAATCTTCATATAAAAATTTTATACATAAATTGGTAAATCATAAACACATAAAATAGTCCATGTGCTTTTTTCCCTTATACGCAGAATTTTATCTTACTGTTTTTAAACATTTTTTTACTATCCATTTATCCTCTTTAAAAAAAAAAATACACAAAGCCTTTAAGGAAATGTTACGTCCTTGATTTCTGTCATCCCCACAACAAATTAATGAGAAAAACTAGTGACACCATCCAGAAATTAAGAAAATTATTATTAGCACTCTACAAAAGCCTGCAAAAAAAGACAACAAAAAGAATATAGATGATTCATGGTCAAATTTATACTTTAATCAGGTAACGGCTTTAACCACACTTCCCATTTAAAAACAAGAAAAACTTACCTGGCCACGTCAAATGACTGTGCCTTTTGTAATTTAGTGTTTAGTTGTGACCCTGGACCAGATCTACTAAAGGAAGAACTCTTTGGCAATGTGGCGGCTGTAAAAATAAATGTTGAATAATTTTAATTCTACAAAGATAAGAAACTTGCCCCAATTTACAAAAATTAAAATGCACAGTCAACAAAATCTGAGGCAGAAATAATTCCCCCTTTCTTGCCAGCCTAGAGCAAAAAGAGCTTTTCGTTCCTCACTCTCTGTCCTCCTGCCAAAAAGGTTTCTAGATTTACTTGTTCTACTGAAAATCACCTTACTATGTAGTAATACTGATTTCCATAAAATTTTACTCTTCATTAAACATTTAGTATCACCTTTTATAGGACCTATTCCAATAGTTAAAGAGGTAACAGCTTAAATATATAAAATGGTATTTTCTTCCCTGCACTGAAGGAGCTGAAGTATTAGTTCCAGATGTAAGAGCCAAGAAGCCACAAACTGTAGTCTTGGCCCGATAACATGTGATGCTAGGGAAGGTCAGCTTTTGTGTCTGATTATCACTGGGGTTGGTTAGTTGTGTGTCAGAAAAAAAAACCACTCTGTGTCTCAGCCACATTCCCTCACCCTTGCCTGATGGCAAATGACTGGCAACTTCTGCCATTAGCCACAAAAGAATAGAAGACTCAGAGTGTGTGGATTTGCTTATACTCCTGGAAAAACAACTGCACACACTTTCTGGGCTACCATCATGTCCACAGTCATGGTCATACATGCAAGATGAACTACATGTGACAAGAAAAAAATCTAAAAAAAGGAGGTACATTTAGCTTATTTGGCCATAACTTAAAGACATATCCTGACATATATAACAAATTCAGGGGGCCACAGGCACAGAAACGTTTCAAGTATGATGCTAAAACCCATGTCGTCAACACTGAATTTACTTAGATGTAGTCAAAGTACTTTAAAAATAATACTTTCCATATTGATATGAATTCATTAAGATGTTAGACCAAGGCTATCTACATCTATAGTTTTATACTTTATTTTAACTAAAGACTTAATAAAGTCTCAAAGTGGAATTAATTAAACCAGAAACTTTGAAATCCTTTCCTTCAATTAAGCAGGCATGTAATACCATGAAATAGTATAAACTCTTCTTTTTTATTCTTTACCATCATCCCCAACATAATTCTATTCCTAGGGGATTGGCTTGCTTATTAGCAATTCATAGTAGCTAAAGAAAAGTAGTAACTGATATATAAAAATAGAAAATGTTCAAATACAGATCAACTTCGATTGCTCTTCTCAGCCCTTGAAAGAAAATTACATTTGTGGCTTTCACTACTAAGCTCACCTTTGCCCACAGTGGCATGCAGAAATCTGTAATTCTCTTTCACACTCTCCACACTAGCATATCCCATTTAATACAGTGGAAAAAAACGTGAAATTAAGTGAAAAAAATAAAGATATTTTCCTCTGGACTAAAACATCATTTAAATATAATTAGAGATTTTAATAATGAACAGCAAAATACCAGTAGTGAAAATTCAGCCTATGGTTTCAGCAAGTCACATACCAGGATGAGCAAATGCAGGCAGAGGTTGTATAACAGGGGGAGCCCCGTTAGCCAAGGGGGGCACAGCTGCTGTGGGAACAGAAGATACTAGGGGTGGAGACATTCCAACAACTGGAATGGATCCCATTGGCACTGGAGCAACAGCTGTAAGCGGTGGCATGCTGGCGATACCTCCCATACCTATGAAGAAAAAAAAGCCCAGCACAGTTCACATCCAATCACATTTCAACAGTGAATAATAATTAACCCAGTACTGCTTAAAGAAAATCGCTTTCCAGCTGTAATACATTCTAATTAAAATAGGGCTTCAAGTTAATCATTTTAAAGAGTAACAAAAATTATGTCAAGGATCACATCAAAAGGACTCAAGACTCAACCTGAAGACAGATCAAACAAGATGAGAATCAAAAAGTATAATAACTGCAGTGGACTTAAAGGCTCAAATATAATTAAATCCATGAGTTCAAAATTATATTTAAAAATAAACAAAATCCTAACTGGTCAAAAAAGGAGGACGCTAAGGCAATCAATTTACTACTTTGAAAACTAGTAAATAAAAGGTAGAAAAATCAAACAGCAATCTACCTTTCCTATGTTTATTATACCTCAGGGAAACCAGATATTTGATGGGGAAAGCATCTTTATTTATTTATCTGAGATGGAGTCTCACTCTGTCACCTAGGCTGGAGTGCAGTGGCGTGATCTTGGCTCACTGCAACCTCCACCTCCTGAGCGCAAGTGATTCTCCTGCCTCAGTCTCCCAAATAGCTGGATTACAGGTGCCCACCATCACGCCCGGCTATTTTTATATTTTTAGTAGAGATGGGGTTTCACCATGTTGGCCAGGATGGTCTCAAACTCCTGACCTCAGGTGATCCACCCTCCTTGGCCTCCCAAAGTGCCGGGATTACAGGCATGAGCCACTGCGCCTGGCCCCGGAAGCATCTTTATATAAAAATATTCTAACCAATAAAGAAGAAATGATAAAACAAAAATAAATGTTTCCAGCTGGGCACAGTGGCTTATACCTGTAACCTCACTACTTTGGAAGGCCAAGGCAGGAGGATCTCTTGAGGGCAGGAGTCCAAAACCAGACTGGGCAATATAGCAAAATTCCATCTCTACAAAAAATTTTAAAAATTAGCCAGGCATGGTGGTACCCGCCTGTAGTCCTAGCTATATGGAAGGCTGAGTTGGGAGGATCACTTATGCCAAAGAGGCTGAGGCTAGAGTGAGCCACAATCACACCACAGTACTCCAGCCTGGGCAATACGGTGAGATCCTTGTCTTAAAAAAAAAAAAAAAAAAAAAAAAGTAAAAAGCTTCCCTTCTTTTGTATTTCTCTGTCCTAACTTTAATACCTTCTCTCATGTTGAGGAAATAAATTTTAGTGTTTAAATGCCCCCTATTGATTTTTAAAAAATATTTTTGTTTGTTTGAGACAAGATCTCGCTCTGTTGCCCAGGCTAGAGTGAAATGGCATGATCATAGCTCACCCTAGCCTTCACCTTCTGGGCTCAAGTGATTGTCCCAGCTCAGCCTCCCAACTTGTTGGATCCACAGGTGTGCATCCCTACACCCAGTTTCACACATTTTTTTTTTTTTTTTGGTGGGGGGTGGTAGAGATGAGGTCTTACTACATTGCCTGAGCTGGTCTCGAACTTCTGGGCTCAAGTGATCATCCTGCCTCAGCCTCTCAAAGTGCTGAAATTACCGGCGTGAGTCACCATGTCTGACCTTTACTATTTTTTAAAAGTAAATTTTCTTTTCAACCTGAGAAAGCTAACTGAAAAGAGTATTATTACATAATAATAGTAATTAAAACATTAATTTTCTTTTTTTTCTTTTATTATTAGAGATAAGGTCTCACTCTTACCCAGGCTGAAGTACAGTCATGTGATCACAGCTCACTGTGACCTTAAACTCCTGGGCACAAGGGATTCTTTTGCCTCAGCTTCCCAAGTAGCTGGGACTACAGACACGCACCACCAAATGCAGCTCATTTTTTATTTTTTGTAGAAACAGGGTCATGCTATGATACTCAGTCTGGTCTCAAACTCCTGGCCTCAAGCCTCTCACAGTGCTAAGATTACAGGGGTGGGCCACTGTATCCATCCAAAAGTAATTTTCTATGTGCTTGTTGTAGGGATTAAAATCTCCAAATTAATTTATCATACTCAACTTCTAATGGCAGAATATAGAAACTTTACACAAATATAGCTCAATTCCCTTTCTCTTCTTCTGTGCTATTACTGTCACATACATTATAATCTTATATGTTATAAGCCCAATAATAGAGTTATAATTATTACTTTATACAATCTTACATCTTTTAAACTTGAGAGAAAAGAAGAAAAATAGATTTATATGGTCTTTTAAATTAACCTACATATTTATCATTTCTGATGCTCTTCATTTCTTTCCATATATTACAGTTACCACCTTTTGTCATTTCATTTCATCCTGAAAGTCTTCCTTCAGTATTCCTTCTAAGGTGGGTCTACTAGTAATGAATTCTCTCAGTTTTTGTTTATTTGAAAAGGTCATTATTTCACCTACATTTTTAAATGACAGTTTTGCTGAATATAGAATTTTGGGTTGAATTTTTTCTTGCAGCATTTTGAAAATTCCACTGCCTTCTAACCTCCATTGTTTTCAATTACAAGTCTGCTGTTATTTGTATCTATGCTCCCCTATCCATGATGAGTTTCTCTTACTGCTTTCAAGGTTTTATCTCTGTGTTTGGCTTTTGTAGTTTAACTATGATGTGTCTGGGTGTAGATCTCTTTGTATTTACCCTGCTTGAGTTGTGTTGAACTTTTGATTGTGTAGACTATTGCTTTTCACCAAATGTGGCAAGTGTTTGGCTTTTATTCTTCAAATATTTTTTCTGTACCTTTCTGTCATGATCCTCCTTCTAAGACTCCCATGACACACATATTGGTAAACTTGGTCTTGTTCCATAAGCCTCTGAAACTTTGTTATTTTTTTTTTCAATCTTTTTGTTCCATATTCTTCAGACTGAATAATTTCTATTGATTAATCTTCAACTTCGCTGACTCTGTCTTCTGCTATATTGAATCTGCTATTGAGATCCTGTGGTAAATTTTTCATTTTAGTTGCTGAACTTTTCAGGTTTTGTTTTTGTTTTGAGACAAGGCCTCCCTCTGTTGCCCAGGCTGGAGCACAGTGGCATGATCTTGGCTCACTGCAGCCTCCTGGGTTCAAGTGATTCTCCTGCCTCAGGCTCCCGAGTAGCTGGGATTACAGGCATCTGCCACCACACCCAGCTAATTTTTGCGTTTTTAGTAGAGACGAGGTTTTGTCATGTTGGCCGGGCTGGCCTCCAACTTCTAATCTCAGGTGATCCGTCACCTCAGCCTCCCAAAGAACTGGGATTACAGCCGTGAGCCACGGCACCCAGCCTTAGTTTTTCCTATTTTGTGATGGAGTTTCACTCCTGTTGCCCAGGCTGGAGTATAATGGAGTATAATGGCACAATCTCGTCTCACTGTAACCTCTGCCTCCTGGCTTCAAGGGATTCTCCTGCTTCAGCCTCCCAAGTAGCTGGGAGCCACCACGTCCAGCTAATTTTTTGTATTTTCAGCAGAGACAGGGTTTCATCATGTTGGCCAGGCGGGTCTCAAACTCTACCTCACGTGATCCACCAGCCTCGGCCTCCCAAAGTGCTGGGATTACAGGTGCGAGCCACTGTGGCGGGCTGGTTATTGAACTTTTCACGTCAGTTTGTCATACTTTTCTAGAATTTCAATTTTCCTCTTTTTTGTAATTTCTATTGTTTTTTGGAGAGTGTCTGTTGATTCATTTCCATGCTTTTCTTTAGTTCTTCAGTTCTTTGAGCGTAATTGCTGATTTGAAGCCTTTGTCTGCTAAATGAATCCAACAGCTGGATCAGAGACAGTTCCTACTGACTGCTTCTTTTCTTGAGGGTGAGACAATACTTTCCTGTTATTTTTTTAATGTCTCAAATTTAGGTGAAAATGGACATTCAGATAATACATTGTAGCTACTCTGGCTCTGATTTTCCCCCTGAAGGTTGTTGTTTCTATCTTTATTTAGTAACTGGCATAGGCTAATTCAGAAAAATCTATCTTCCCGTGTTGTGCAGCCCCTGATGGATCTGCTCAGTGGGTTTTTAAAAAATTCGTTTTTATCTTGAAGCCCGGCTTTTTAGGGATTGCACCTGCATCTTTCTAGCACATTAGTCAGCCAATGACGGGACGGAAGTTTTGCTCAAACACCTCAAGTCAGTCAGGCTTCCTTTCTCTGCCAATCTGTCAGCTCAAAAATGCATTCAAAGTTCAGACCATTTTAAAGTCTTCCCCAACTTTAACATTTTGCAGGGCCTTTCTGCATATTCTCTATATGTGCATGCAGTTTGAGGGCTAGTCAGGAGTTTGCAGCTGACTCGGGCCCGCCCTGGTCTCCACGGCACATGTGCATAGCCTCAGTCAAGAATATACTTGCCCTGGCCATGACCACAAGTTCAGGCTAATAGAGTGGCTGGTCATACCTGCTCTTCTGTGGCCAAAATTGCCATTTCCACTGACAAAGCTGCTGGGCACAGGCATGACTTCCCACTCCCAAAGCAAATAACCCCCTTCAATGACAGTAGTTGAGACTGCTGGTATTTACAAACTGCCCCTCCACGTTACCAAGTTGCAGTGTTGGGGATAGGAAATGCCCAGGAAAGAATGCCACAGACTTCTGCTTCATATCTCAAGCTCAGCAGCTTTTCAGGCATAAATGATTCTCAGATGTTATATACTTTTGGTCAATTTCCGCAGCACTGAAATGGTTATTCTGTCAATTCTGTCCTGGAGGGAAGAATTTGCTGATCTCAACTCAGGCATGGTCGGAAATTTCACTGCAGAAATGTTTTTTAGGTTTCCTTTAATCTATAGGCCCCTCTCCATCCCAGTCTGGATTTTGCTGACTGCACTCTCATGGTGCAGTTCAATATTTCCCTTATATTCTGTATTTCCTGCAAATAGGCACCTACATCCAAAGAATGGATCAGGCTGAGGATGGATCTCTTTGGCAAGACTACAGGAAGCACACAAAATGTAGCCATCTTTTTGTGATCTTGGCAGTCACTGATGCTTAATGTCTGTATTTATTCATTTATGGGGAGTTGAAAACAGTGATGTTCTAATCCT